CAAATCCTGCGCAGGCACTTTACCTACAGCCCGAAGGTCGTCAATAGGTGGCGGTTCTGGCGGGCCGAACTCCGGCATTTTTGAGCTACTCGGCTGCCGCTTCCCATCTCTGCTCCCAGCAGCGACCTCCGCCTCGCGGTTCGCCTCCTTTCGGAGCTCCTCCCGCCAGGATTTGATGCGCCGCTGGTTTTCCGGGGGGGGGGGCAGCAGCAGCCCTGGGTCCACCGCTGCCCAGAACAGAAGGGTGCAGGGAGGAGAAGGAGCGCAGAGCAGGGAAAGGCAGGCGGGGCGTGGGTATTAAGCAAACCATCGGAGGGCTGGTGTTCTCCCTGACAGTTTTAGACTGTAACTGTGAGCAGATCGCTCTCCTTTTTGCAATCGGTTCCCACCCCAGTTCTTAAGGGCATAGACTTTTCAGTTTCCTGGGGGCTGGGGCTGGGCCAGAGGCATTGCTAAGTCATTTAAAGAACTGGGACCCAATGACATCATAGAGAGGATCCAGTGACATCACAGACCATTGTGGCAAATTGGACTTTTAATTCTTAGATCTATCTGCAGGTCAGATGTGTTTTGGAGTTAATCTTTACTCAGGTATGCAGGGATTGGGTTCAAATTCATGTCAGTAAAATAGTGCATCACCCATGCAATTCAAGAAACTCCCAGAGTACGGTGGTTTATTTGACCAGCAAACAGAACCAGGGAAAGTGCATCATATAGTTGGGTTCTTGGCCTGAATGTAAAGCTGCATTCAGACATAGTGGTAAATCATGGTTTGCTAAAAGAACACTATCTGCAACAAACTCTTTTCAGCAAATAGTAAATCCTGGTTTGAGTCCAGTGGCACCTTTAAGAGCAACAAAAGTTTGAACAAAATGCATGTTAAAAAAACTCATACTAGGGTTGCCAGGTCCCTCTTGGCCACTGGCAGGAGATGCCAGATCCAGGCTGGGAAACTCCTGGAGATTTGGGGAAAGAGACTGGGGAGGATGGGTGTACAATGCCATAGGGTTCCCTTCAAAATATCAATTTTCTCCAGTGGAACTGATCTCTCATGTCTGTAGATAAGCTGTAACTAGCTCACAGTTTTTTAGCCTCTGGCTCACACATTTTTGTCCTAGGTCAGGAAGGAGGGCTCCAAAGCAAACTAATGTATGCAGTAGCCAAATTGCTCACTCACAACTTTAATGCCAGTAGGTCACAGAGTAGATTTTTTTTGCTCACAAGACTCCACAGCTTAGAGGGAGCATTGCTAACAGGGTGTCAACATCCAGGTGTGCCTTTCCTAATGTCCAGGAATTTGGCACCCAGGAGTTGGCAAACCTACAACAACCTTGGCTGAGAATGATCTCAGCCTTCCTCCCTTCCAAGATCTCAAAGCTTATTCCCCAATGACTTACTCCAAAGTAAACCTTCCTGGGATCTGGCTGTGGGGCTTTCCCCAGCTGTTGATTATCTGAAGCCCTTCCAGTCCTCTTCTGCCATTCAAGAGCTTTTCCTCTTTTCCGACCCCTCCCCCCAACTCCTTGCTTAGTCTTCCTAGCAAACAAACTCTGGGAGTTTAACCCTTGCAGTGCTGGAGAGGAAGGAAAAATGTTTCTCGTCCTCTCCAGGAGGGAGCTTCAGCAAGGCATGAAGCCCCTATGCAACCCAATGGGGCTACTCTGGAGTAACTACACGAGGCCTCACTCCCAGAATCTCTCCAGTGCTGTTCAGCCACTTCAGAAAAAGGATTCATGCCACCTTCTCCTGTATTGCAGATCACAAGGCAGCATCACAGATTCATATTTGTGTCTCCTTAACATCCAACACAGTCTTACAAAACAGAAAAAGAGGCTCAGAGCTGGCCCCGGGAGATGGAGAGTTGGAGGAGAAGGGCCTCGATGCCAGCAGCACTTTTAAAGACCCACATACATTCAGTGTAAGCTTTCCTGGGCAAGCTACAAGCACACTTTCCACCTTGCTTTTTCTGTGCATGCGCGCGCGCAGGGAAGCCAGTCTCCACATGCAGCCCGCTCCAGCTCCTCTTCAGCCTGAACTGAGTGCTGCTGGGAGTTGAGGGTGGAGTTTAGCTTCCAGAAGGAAGCAAGCCCCCACCGTCCTGACTTGTTCCCTCCCACCCAATCCAGCTGAACAGTCACAGAAAGCGGAAGGGGGGGGGAACCCTCCACTTTCAAAATGGGGTGGTGGGGGGACGGGGGGGTAGTGAGGCCGGGGGAAGCTCAATACGTTCGGGAGGGGTGCAAGCTCCTCAGCCCCCACGAAGATGACGCCGGTGTATCCCTTCCACCCTTATCCTATGCACAGTGTAGAAATTTCAGTGCTATTAAAATCAGCTCGATGCGTGCTTAATAATACTTCTTAGTACTTAAGGGGCATGTAAAGTATGTACAGTCAAAGTATATATAGTACCTGAGTAATGCTTGCAATAGCCTAGCAAGGTTGATCAGTGTTGTTACCTCTGTGTTTCAGACCCCACTGAAAACAATGGTCTTAGACAACTCAGCATAGATTGCATTGTGTGTTGCCCGAGGCCTTCTATGTGGTTCTTGGATGGGGTGTGATTTTAAACAGGGAATTCCCATCATAATACAATCAGTATATTACCAATCAGAATTAGCAAGTAAATTCTGTCTCACAACACTATATATTGTTTTTAAAAACAACCCCCACCACCAAGGAATGGATTTTCTCTCATGCTGTCCCAAAGAATAGTGCAGTATACAACTTTAATCGTCTTTATTGCCTTCTTGTGGCAACTGGGCCTAAAGACTTTTTACATTTGCATGAAATATTCATAGTCATATGTCATAGAGTATGATATTCATCATATTTCATGTAATCATATGACCCTCTCTCAAGAGAATATATTTATTGAATGTGTATTTAAAAGGTATTTAATCCTGTCGTTCCAAAATGCTAAATGTGGGATAAGATCACAAAAACAATTTAAAACTATTTATAAAAAGAGAATAAAAAGAAACAACAGTCTAAAACCCACCAAATACGCACAGATGCTGACAGAGACCCCAAAGATAACCAGCAAAGATACTGTTGAAATAAAAGTGGAAGGGTATCTGTTTGGAACACAGAAGGTACCAGGTTCAATCTCCATCTTCTTCAGTTAAAGGATCAGGCAGCAGGTGATGGGAAAGACCTCTGCCTGAGACCCTGGAGAGCCACTGCCAGCCTGAGTAGACCATACTGACTTTGATGGACCAAGAGTCTGCTTTCAGTATAAGGCAGTTTCATGTGTTCATGTGTTTATCAAATTCCTCTAAAGGTTTTTCAAAAAGTAGTAGGAAAGGTGCTTTTTGTGACTGCCCCTGGGAGGCTAGTCCACAGAGTAGGAGCTATGAGAGAGCAGAAGAACATGGAAGCAGAACAGGCTGTCTGAGGCAAGGGTCCAACATAGGTTTTATACAGGGAGACTTTCATGATGCTCTGCACAGCTATAAAAAACATAGTAATATGCAGAACAGCCTCTCAAAAGACTTTAGAACATGGAAGCAGAACAGGCTGTCTGAAGCAAGGGTCCAACATAAGTTTTATACAGGGAGAATTTCATGATGCTCTGCACAGGTATAAAAAACATAGTAAATATGCAGAACAGCCTCTCAAAAGACTTCCACAAATTTTCACATTGCCACATAATTCTGGAACTGTGGAAAAGGACACCTGTAATGGCTTTTTTTTGGAGGGGGGGGATCATGTGACACAATCCAGTTCAATGCTTTAAAAATCAGTGGAAGAGTTAAGTACATGTTTAAATATCCCTGTTTTAAAACAATATGAGTTTTCAAATGATTTGACTTGGGCTGGATTGTGTCCATGGATATCAGCAACATAAGTCAGAGGCACAAACGAATTTCTTACTGGAAATGAGAGAATTTATTATTTCAAGCAGCACTTGCTTGGGACAGTGACAGTTTCAGGAATTAGCGTGGGAAAGAAAATGAGGCCAGCCTCATTTTTTAAATTAATAAAAACGTGCAGAGAATACTGCTTGGTGCTTCTTGTTGTCCAGCTGAATACAGCCATTTGAGTGCCAGCCAATGC